ACAATCCCTTCATTTTCCAGCACAAGAAAGGTGGGATTTTTGTTTGTTTCTTTGCTTGATTTTTTTTTTTTCTGAGAATGGAAAGCCATGGTCTTACAAAAGATATTTTATCCAAATCTTTTGCTAGGCTAAGAGTCTTTTCTGTTCCTGTAAAGCTAAGCTTTTTACAACACCAAAGCCAGGAAGAGACTCCTTTTTCACCCTCTGCTTTCTTTGCTGTCACATCTTTCTTTTAAAGCAATGAGCACAGAATGCCTAGCTGCTTGTTTGGGGTGAAGTGACAGGCAATGAGATTGAGAGAAGAAAATATGTGGGGCAGGGGGTGAGGACAATCTGTTAATATTATCCTATCACACTTAGGACGAACAGACAGAAATAATAATAATAAGGCTCTGAGAGCAAATATTCTCCCCTGTATCCAGATGAAACTCTCTCCTTAGCCCTACGAAGTAGTGCATGCTCTTGGCTCTTCTCCTCTGTCCCTTGCTAAGCACAGGCAAGATGTCAGAACTCAGAAGCCCTGTTCTAAATAAGCAGACTGACAATAGGACAGGTTGTCTTCTAGGAAAAGGTTTATCTTTTCCCTAGAGATCCTGAGTGGTTTTGAAAGGTACAATTCTTTTATTTGGTTTGGTTCTAGGAATGTGACAGTTTATATAAAGCTGTTACTTTACCGTGAAAAATCTAGACACAGTGAGAGTAACATTTGGAGTTGTATTTTACACCCAGAAACCTGCATAACAGGAAGAATCACATTTTTTCCCTTCTAAGAATGTAGAGGCATCCTCAAAGCACCTTTGCAGTTTTAACTTCTATTTTGAAATATGTTGATGTTAGTAATTATTATAATAAAGTATTAGCTATTTATGGTTAATAATAATAATTGCTTATACTTATTGCATACTTATTATGTATCAGATACTAAAACACCTTCATTTAATCCTCATAAACCTTTAGGAGATACGTATTACTATATTTCCAGGTGGGGAAAGCAAGGCAGAGAGCCTAAGTAACTTGTCCAAAGGCATAAGCTAGTGTCTGTTAGAGACTGAATTTGAACCCCAGAATTCTGATGCCTTCAAGTGTTTAATCATCTTGCTAGTTAACACATTAACTGCCATGTGAGTTGTATTTAACTCATGCTAGTTTTGAGCCCGGGGCCTTGTAAAGCATGTGGAATTCACACATCTCTTCACCTTGGGAGCCGCAAGAACTATTTTTCAATTCGCATATAATTCATACACAGAAAACAAAAAAAAAATAACACATTTTTCATTAAATTAGAAAGGGTCATTTTGTTTTCATAGTTTTTCTTCTATTTTCATAATAAAACACTATGGCACCAAGGAAAAAAATTTTTTTCAAGTGTGGCAGTCAATGTGTTAATAAATATATTAATCATGATAATAATGTTTAGGAGGCTATGGCATAAAAATGGCAATTCTTACAATAATAAGCTGAAGGCTGATTTTAAGCTAGTAGATCAAAATAAAAATTTTAATGAGAAATTATAGTTGAGATATACATGAGACAAAGTGTAAGTTGCAGTTTGCAGCCCAGACAGAAGACTGGGTTAGAGAATGATTTTGACTCTCCTGTTTATTAAGGGACACAGAAATTTTGTGCTGAGCTATCCTGGGTCTTTAGGGAATTACAGTGAATAAACACCATGGAATTGAAGGACATAAGAAATTAACATTGTGTGCTGGAATTTGAAGGGATAAACATGGAGATCTGATACAGAGAATCTTCTCAAATTATACTTGAAGACACATGGAAATGAAATTTCTTGTTAACATTATTTCATTTTATTTTTTAATTTTTATTTATTTATTTATTTGTTTTGAGACAGAGTCTTGCTCCATTGCCCCGGGTAGAGTGCAGTGGCATCTTCATACTCCCGGGTTCAAGTGATCCTCCTCCTACCTCAGCCTCCCAAGTAGCTGGGACTACAGGCGTGGGCCATCATGCCTGGAGAATTTTTCTATTTTTAGTAGAGACTGGGTCTTGCTTTTGTTCTTGACCAGCAGAGCCTGGTCTCAAACTGAACTCCCGAGCCCAAGCAATCCTCCCGCCTTGGCTTCCCAGAGTGCTAGGATTACAGGCACCAGCTTTTGAAAAAATAAAAGCTTTATTGCAAGGCTAGCCAGCAAGGAGATAGGAGTCAGGCTTATATCTGTCTCCCCAGTTTGGGGTTTGGGACAAGTTTATAGGCTTGATGGAGAAAGAGAAAAGATTTAGGAATGTTGGCTTGGTAGAGTCTGATTGGAGGGCTTAAAATTTGACCACTTACGATAAGGTATGTTGAGGTGGATTTTAGCTCTGGATCTTGTGGACCTGCAGTGCAGGCCCCTCACCACTGAAAGAGTTCTGGCAGTCAGAGTCCAGTCATGTCCTGGGCTTCTTGGTTCTAAGGGGAGGAACTGTTGGTGCCAGGTGTTGTTAGAGTCAAAGTTTTTTCAGTTGTGCATGCCCAGGCTACATGACTTGCAGTTTTTGGCTCTGTTATACCTACAAGATAACTTGATATTTGTTATCAACAGAGTGTGCCCAGTTTGGGCTTGTCCTGGGGTTACACTTTGCACTGGGTACTGTTAGAAGGGCTGGGGGAAGAGTAATGAAAAAGCAATATAAAAAACTCTTATCATTGTGGAGCTTAATTTTAATGGGAGAAGACAAAAGAAATAAATAGTAAACAATTAGTATATTAAAAGTGATAAGTGCTAAGGAAAAATAAGTTAGGGACTTGCTATAGAGATGTCTTTTGAGTTCTTTCTTCTCATTGTTCCTTTTCCTTTCTACTTCAGGGATAAAATGGGCTAAGTTATAAAAGTGTTTCTCATCCTCAAAACTCAATTTGAAGAAAAGTTGGACAGAAATACAAACCAAAGTATGACTTCTGATTCAAGCTCAAAACCAGTGGTCCAGATTCACCTGAAGTCAAAGCACTGTCTGAAAAACTGGCTTCTCATGAAGTAACATGGTTTCGTTGCATATTTTCACCTTCTATGTAATTCCCTCTCCTTTGAACATGCTCTACACCTGTTCCCTCCTTACTCCTCTTACTTGCTACATACACTCCTGTGACTGACTTTACTACTATTTCTGATCTCAAAAAAGGCCCCTGCTATGTACTGAATGTAATTGTATTTTCCCTATTAAAGCACTAAACGCACTGCATTGTAGAGGTTTATTCAATAGTCTTTCTCTCCTGTTAGACCAAAAAATTTGTGTAGTTAAGGATAAGGACTGTGGTTTTTTCATCATCGTATCATCGGCACTCTGACATATAGTAAGAGCTCAATAAATTTTGTCATATATATGAAGTATCTATCTGGGCATGTCTATGTACGTATGTATGTATTTTGTTAATGATGGAACTTTGTGATTACACAGAAATATTTAATCAATATAATGTCCTTGCTGATTTGTCCTAATATTTGTTTTTTTGATTGTAAAAAGATGTTGGTATTTTAATTAAAAATGACTTTACAAGTTAGATATATAAAGAGTACCTAGTAAAAAGTGGGCAAGTAATTTCTTTTTTACCTTGTAAAATATTTTATTATGAAAAATTTTAAATATGCAAAAATAAGGAGAATAGTATAATAAACCCCCCTGCACCAATCATCTGCCTGGCCAATTTTGTTTCATCCATAACCCTACCCACGCACCTGACCCCAAATTATTTTAAACAAACCCAGACATCGTAGCATTTCATTTTCATAGCGATTTTTTAAAGAAGAGTCTTTGTATAGGAATACTTTAGAGTTTACAATGCAAATGCATATACATCATCTCTTTCCATTCTCATATCCTGTTCTTTTCCACTTTACTGAAAAGGAAGCAGGTTCAAAGAAATTAAATGATTGTTCTTTGGTCATACTCCTAGTATATATTGTAGTCACAACTTGAACCCATTGCATTTTTTTTTCCAAGATCAACTTTAATGCTTAGTCCAGTGTACAATATCATAGGCCACTTCAAGTTGAGAGTTAGAACCAGTTGTTCTTTAACTATGACCATTCTAATTTTTACATACCCTAAGACCAGGCAGCAATTAGGACATGAGCCTTCATGTGGATAGATGGTGGCAGTTCTGATAGGGGAAAATTAGCACTGGTCTTTCCTTCCAAAGGCCACTCTGGCTGCTGCTATTGACACAAAACCCCCGGCTTTTAAGATATACTCTATGAGTGCTGCATTCAACTGCCATGTCTCTACTTTCTCATGAGGAAAAAAACGGTAAGCATCTAAAGATACCTTAAGCCTTATTGATAAGGTAAGCCTCAGGCCGAATTCAAATCTCTGGGCTCCAACAGAATTAGAGGTCAATGCATCTATGCTAGGAAGGTTCCACTTTTCTCCAAAACTGGGCTTTATCAAGAAGTGAGACTATGTTCTCCCCATGTATCTAGGTAAAAAATACATATAGGTAAAATATTTCACACAAATTCCCATAAAGGAAAAGTGGACTATAATAAAACAGTTTTATTAGGAATCAAAACTGTGCCCTCTTCAGGACTTCCTGCTTCAGCTCTTTGGAGCCTTTAGTCTATTACTTACATTGTAACGTGAAGATAAAATTGTAACAATATGACAGTAATAAGGCTCCTATTGATTTAAGAACTGCCAGTTTGTGTCAGGCACTGCGCTGAGTGATTTACGTCTTTAATCTTCGAAACGACCTTCCCAGGTAAGCACTTTTATTTCCATTTTCCGGAAGACCAAATTCAGAGAAGTCACACGCCAGTCAGTGGCAGAGCTAAGACTGGAATGGAGTTGACTCCAAAGCTCTCTACACTACAACGGTAGGAAAGACGGCGAAAGACAAGTGAAAAGAATAAAAAGAATTGGGAACTTCAGCGAATGAGAAGACAGGCAGAACTGGAAAAGTACCGCATGAGCGCCACTCAAGCGCGTTGAAACGCCGCGGGGAGGCGGTGCCGGAAGTCAGGCAGCGGCTTCCGGGCCTCGCGCCGGAAGTGGCTACTCACCGCCTCCTCCAGCCTCCCCCGGAGAGAGGCGCTCTAGAGTTTGAGCTGCGGTGCCGCCACGAGGTGTCCGGATCTTGCATCCAAACGCGTCTGCAAGTCGAAATGTCGCACCCGTCACCCCAAACTAAGCCCTCCAACACCAGTAACCCCCGAGTCTTCTTTGACGTGGACATCGGAGAGGAGCGAGGTGAGGAGAGTGACGCTCGCAGAAAGGACCCGAGGTTCCGGGGATTCGGGGACTCCAGAAGGGGTGGGAAACGCGCTGTTCGGGCCGGGGGTTGTTCACTGTTGTGGAGGGGTGCGGGGATGGCTTCCTAGTCTGGTCCGCTGGAACAAGCCCGGGCATCCAGGGGTAGGTCGAGCCATCGCCCTTGTCCCAATGCCATGGGTCGTGTAGAAGTTTCTAGAAATGTCTGGTTCGGGAATTGTGGCGGCCTTTAGGGTTGTGTCTCCTGATCTGGTTCCACTTCCCCGCCACCTTTGCACCACTAAGTTAGCATGAAATAGGATTGTTTTATGTTTGCAGTGGGCCAGTTTAGAAGGCTCCTGGGATATGCGTCTGCTAGGCTCCAGGCACGCCGTATGTTTTGGCGCACAAAATACATATATCAGCGCCTGCCTTGTTATTATAAATTAAAGCGACTCGTTTGCTTATTGCCTTTTCCTTGTTACTGATTTTTAACTTGGAGGTCCAGTCAGATAGGCAAACATATTCTGTATTTTGGCAGCGGGAAAATGAGCTCAACTAGCCATGTGGTTGCCTAGGTTACATAGCAGCTCAGAAGTTCCTACGCCCCGGTGAGTTAGGGAGCATGTTGCTTTGTAATTGAAGCGGTCTTGTTCTGGAACATGTTAGAATTACTGGCCAGGCAGTGTGTTTGAGTGCACGTACAGAACACACACATATACTTGTCCATTCTGTTTGTTATGGAACTAGTGGTAGGTTTATTTTCACCTGTCTTAGGAGCTTTCTAGAGGAGAAACTTTCTCAGCTTTTGCTTTGGAGGCTGCATTAGGAAACTTCGTAGAGCACAAAGGCTACAAAGTATACGTAAAACTTGGCTAACCTGACCACTTTAAAGGATATTTAATTTTCTCTTGTTGGTTACTTCGTGATTGGAGAGTGTGAATACCTCTTGAAGAAATTACTCAGGGTTTAAAACCATTGTACTTCCTGGTGTCCCTTCTATGGTGCTAATCTGCTGGCTACTGTAATTGGTTATGATACTTTGTATGATGTTTCAAATCTAGATACATGACAGTAAACTTTAGGTAGATTAAATGTGAATATTAGAAAAAGGACAATAAGGTCATCCCACTATTAAGTATATATGTCTAAAGGAAATGAAGTTGGAGTGTGGAAGAGATATCTGCACTCCAGTGTTCATTGCAGTATTACTTAGGATAGCTAAGGTAATGGAATCAAGATAAACGTTCATCAGCAGATGAATGGATAAAGAAAATGTGTTATATACTCACAATGGAATAGTAGTCACCCTTAAAAAAAGAATAAAATCCTGTCATTTTTGACAACATGGGTAGATACAGAGAACATTATGTTAATTGAAATAAGCCAGGCCCAGAAAGACAAATGCCACATGATTTCCCTTATATGTGGATTCTAAAGAAGTTGACCTTGAAGTAGAGAGTAGAATGTGGGTACCAGGGGCTAGGGAAGTGTTGGTCAGAGGATTCATAAATTTCAGTTAGAAAGCAGGAATAAGTTCAAGATTCTTGTACAACATGGTGACTATAGTTAATAACAACATACTGTGTTTTTGAAGTTGCAAAAAAAAAAAAAAAAGACAGTAAAAGGGAATTCGGTAATTCATGAACCTTCTTTTGCCATAATTATACAACTGCCTTTATCATTTGCCTGTTTGGTTGGTTGTTTTGCATACTGACAAAATTTCATTTTCTTTTCTTTTAGTTGGTCGAATTGTCTTAGAATTGTTTGCAGATATTGTACCCAAAACTGCAGAAAATTTTCGTGCACTATGTACAGGAGAAAAAGGCATTGGACCCACAACTGGGAAACCTCTCCATTTCAAAGGATGCCCTTTCCATCGAAGTATGTATAAATTTTCTGAATCTGATTATTCATGATATAGATAAGTAAGTCCTATTCTTTAGGAGTTAGGGAAGAAAACACTAAGTAGGGGGTGAAGGTTAAAAAGTACTGTTAGTTTCCAAGAGGACCCTTGGACATCCGGTGCAGTAGCTTAGTTTCATACAGGCTAGGCTGTGAGAGATGGAATTACTTATGGGGAGGTAAGAAATGGACTACCCTAGCTTTGCTAGTCCTCTAACCCCTTCACTCCAAGATGATTTGATTGAAAAAGGAAGGGTATGGCCACGATTGCTGATCTTAGTTTGCCTCGTAACGAAAAAGTTATTCCTACTTCTTGGGCATGGTTACTTAGGAAGGCTGAGGATTTGAAGATTCAGTGTCTTGGACACATTGGTGATATGTGATTAAAATGTGACATTTTATATTACATATCACACTTTGTAATCAAACCTTCGTTTAGTAATTGATGGTTCCTCCAAACAGACTGTAGTTTCTATGAGTTCAGGAACTCTATGTTCCTACTGTTTTGTCTTAAGAATCTAGTATAGTTGTTGAGTAGGCACTCAGTGAATATTTGTTTAATAAATAGACTAAGTTAAACTATAATCATATGAGTACTTTTTTAAAAAAACTTGATTTATTAAAAAATTAACGTTGATTTTTAAATATTTAAACTATTGAATTACTGTCATGTTTAATAAAATATCAGAATATACTAATAAATTATATGTAGAAAATATATAACATAGCCAAGCTGAGACTGCTGTCCTTAGAAAGCTCTGTCTCCAAGGGTAACACTTGGCTGGAGTGTGGGAACTTGGCATTTGAACCATTTCCTAAATCATAAGGGTGATTTACTATGCCTAGACTGTTTGTCCAAACATGTGATTTATGCTGAACGTCTGTTTTTTTGGGGGGGAGTTTGGAATTTTGGCACATGCTAGGAAGAGAGTGCCTGCCTACGTGACAGAGAGCGCCCAATAAACACCTTGGGTGCTGAGTCTCTTGTTGCCTCTTCTGGGCAGAAGCATTGTACATGTGTGCTGCATTTTCATTGCTGGGGGAAGTGTGTGTTCTGTGACCCTTCATGGGAGGGAGAGAGCATAAGGAGGCCTGCATGTGGATTCCTCCAGACTCTCCCTATGTCTTGTCTTCTTTTCATCTGGCTGTGTATCCTTGCTACTGTGATACAACCAAATGCTATATCCATGAGCCCTAGGGATCTCGGAAAGTGGGAGAGGTCTTGGTAAACCTTGACACAAAGTGGTAATATTTGAAGTATTTCTATTAGGGTATAACAAATCTACAGGGAATAGAGTAACTCATATGTGCCCAGCCATGCACATAGTTACAAGGATGAAAAACAGGACTGTTGACGTACTTAAGAGGAATTCATTGTTTGCTGGAAGAGACAGATCGTTATGACGTATAAAAGTCAAGATACTGTGGGAGAAAAATTACGAGATACAACTTCGGGATGTTCGTGACGGTTTTATAGGGGAGGTACCATTTGAACTAATTTTTTGAATGTTAGTGGGAGATCAGGCAGTAAAAGTAAGTTGGACTCAGATTGTGAAAAGCCTTTAGAGTGTGGAGTTTTGTGGGGATGGGTGGAGAAAGGAGTGTGATGTGACTAGAGTCATGCTTTAGAAAGTTGTCTTAATTATTACATACTCGTCAGTTAATATTGCTGAAGTCATCCATGTCTCAGTCACTAATAGCCATTTTCCTTGTTTGTAGTTATTAAGAAATTTATGATTCAAGGTGGAGACTTCTCAAATCAGAATGGAACAGGTGGAGAAAGTATTTATGGTGAAAAATTTGAAGATGAAAATTTCTATTATAAGGTGAAGTAGAGAAAATGCATGTTATTGCTGATAAAAAGATTGTTTTATGTCTCAAATATGTGTTGGATTAAGACACCAAAAAAAAAAGTCTCATCTGTGCTTAGATTTCTTTGTCTTGTAAAAGGAATTATGTTTGTAAATATGGGTCTTTAGTATGGCAAGTTTTCAACCGGTAATGAATATCAGAGTTATTTCAATGTGATCCAGGTTGGTTTTTTTTGTTTTTGTTTTTTTAAGCCAATGAGTTTTTAAGTGCAGCCACCATATGGCAAAATTGTTTCCAGGAAAAATATTCTCATTATCGGAAGGATGTAACTTGTGTGCT